ATTGGAATAATTACATATCAAGATCGTGCTATGCAAAATGCAATAGAAATCGTGTTTCCGAACACAAAGCACAGATGGTGCCTCTGGCATATTCTCAAAAAGTTGCCAAAAAAATTCGGCGATCATAGACATAAAGCTTCTATTCTTGCAAATGTACATAGGTTGGTGTACGATGTACAAAGTTGTGAGGAATTCGAACAAGGTTGGCGTACTATGCTCAAAGATCACGAATTGCTGGAACATAGTTGGTTGACTGGTCTATACAATGAAAGAAGTCGATGGGTACCATGCTTTTTGAAGACATCATTCTGAGCGGGTATGTCAACCACACAACGAAGTGAAGGAATTAATGCATTTTTCGATGGTTATGTCAATTCAAAAACATCTTTGAAGCAATTTGTAGAGCAATATGAGCGTGCGTTGAGAAGCANTGGTTATGTTCATTCAAAAACATCTCTGAAGCAATTTGTAGAGCAGTATGAGTGTGCGTTGAGAATTAAAGTAGAAACGGAGTTTCTAGCCGACTTCAAATCATTTTCACACATGGTCTCATGTACAACAAGGTATGAAATGGAGAAGCAATTTCAATCATTGTACACAATCGCGAAGTTCAAGGAGTTCCAAGAACAATTTACTGGAAAGGTATATTGCGAAGTGTTATCCATTCATGATTCATACTTGTACACTACATACGATGTACGTGAGGACATTATCATTAATGAATGTATGAGGACGAAAATGTTTAAAGTGTGCTTCCATAGAGATGAATGTGATTTTGAGTGCGCTTGTCACTTATTTGAGTTCCAAGAAATTGTTTGTAACCACGCGATTGCAATTTTGATACGAAACCAAGTGAAATTACTTCCCGAGAAGTACGTTTTAAAGAGATGGAGAAGGGATGGATCGGACCGTACACAAGGGTTCCGATCAATTATGATGGTTGGATTAGTACTCCAGACCAAGTTAGATATGAGCAAATGTNGGGTTCCGATCAATTACGATGGTTGGATTAGTACTCCAGACCAAGTTAGATATGATCAAATGTGCAATGCTTTTATCCAGTTAGCTGACTTGGTAGCACATGACGAGTCACGAGCACATGGAATTATGGAGTGGATTGAATTTCAAACAGTAGAGGCATCCATGTTGAAGTCTATTACTGGGGGCTTCGAAAGCGTTGATGAAGTAGGACAATCAGTTAGTGAAAAACTGTTGGACCCGAAATACACAAAAGCAAAGGGAGTTCCTAAAAAACTTCGCCGAAAGGGGCATCTAGAAAAATCAAGAACATGTCATAAGGCATAATTTCGAGACAATTTATTGTAGCATATGTATATATTTGTTTAGAATTGCTACACGTTGAAACTGATATTTTCTTCATGACATGTAGGTGCCAACGAACTCTACATCGAAAAGGCGGAAAGGCAATGTTCCACCCCCCTTTGATGTTCAGGTATTTTTCAAACATTACGCTTGGTTCGAAAGCGAAATATTTGAACATGATGTTATCCTTTTTTTTCTTTAGGAGATTCGCAGTACAACCACCTGCCCTTCCCAACTAGGCGGCACACAGGAAAGCGTGGGTGATTTTGATTTAGGGGTCTAAGGAATCCAATGACGTTTGGTTGTATATTTTTTGTCAATAGTGAACTTACATGTTCCACGTGGGGTGATTTTGATTTAAGGGTGTAAAGAATCCAGTGACGTCGGTTGTATATTTTTTGTCAATAGTCAACTAACATGTTTCACGTGGGTGATTTTGATTTAGGGGTCACTTATCGCCACACAAATGTGGTTGTATATTTTTGTAAGCAATTAATTGAGAATTACTCACTGCAGCTTATTCGGCAGTATATTTTTTTGTGAAATTAATGAAGTTGGTTCTGATTTAATGCATTTCTATTCTTATATATTTTTTATAGCTGATTTAAAGATGTAACAGTAATTGAAACAGGGAATATCAAAACATGTTCATACAAAAACGGTCAACATATACCGTTTGACGTTCTTGTTCATAAAATCGAATTAGTACAATAAGTTGAGGTCATACAAACAAAATAATAAACATAATTCATATTCAATCTCTCGGAACTGCTTTTTCCTTACGCATGGTTATGTTGAGCGAAATCTCCAAGTCCCTCTCCTCGGTTATTTCACCATGACCACCAAATTTTATATTTAGTGTCATCATGGTCACTCAATTTGATTTTATTTCATTATGACCACCCAATTTCATATAACATTTCAACATGATCATCCAACTTCTTTTCATCATTTTCATTAATTTTAAAATGGGTGAAACAGTAATTTTGCATTATATATATAAAATAAATTTAAAAAAACAAAAACTTATTTTTTTTAAAAAAAAAACTTTAGGTATTTAGAAAAATAAAATAAAATAAATTATTTAAAAAATTTCCTTAAAAAAATAAAATAAAAACTTATTTTTTTAAAAAAAAAAGTTACTTAGAAAAATAAAATAAAATAAAATATTCTTTTAAAAAAAATTCTAAAATAAAATTTAACCTTTTAATTTTTTTTAAAAATATTTTATATATATAACACAAAGTTACTATTTTACCCCTTTTAAAATTAGTGAAAATGGTGAAAAGAAATTGGATGACAATTGTGAAACATTATATGAAATTGGATGACCATAGTGACAACAAATATAAAGTTTGGTGGTCATAGTGAAATAAAATCAAATTGGATAACCATGGTGACACTAAATAAATTTGGTGGTTATTGATTGATTTAATCGCTATTATTAATTACAGAGCTATCACAGCTCATTTTCACTAAACAAACTTTACAAAAGGGTTATACTTGCCATGTATTACGTTAAACATAATCTTTTTTTTTTCTTCAACCAATGTGGACAGTTTACAAAAAAATTAAAGAGCCAAAACATTCATTTGCTGGGCTTGCTTGGGCAGATTTGTAACTTCAGCTCAGATTGAGCCCATTCTCACCAATTTCTAAGTTGCCATGCATGTTGAAATTCATACCATGTTTCCCAAGAGCATGGATCACGTTCATCTTATTCTTTAATCTTGTCCAATACTATGTACCATACTTTTACTTCATCAATTCTCTTGGATAAGTTTGTTTCCCACAACCAATTCACGTCCTCATTGGGATTTTTTTATTTGTAGCTCATGAAAAATCAGTTAAAAATTACTTCATCAATTCTCTTGGATTGGTTCGTTTCCCACAACCAATTCAAACTGAAGTAATTTGAAGCATTTTTTAACATGAATTTCTGGTCAAGATGCTTACTTGAAATGATAAATTCCAAGATATTTTGAATGGTTGAATCACCTTGCTTTCCAAAACTGCAAAACTGTAATTTCCTTGCACTTCAATAGTCTCAATCACGATCACAATGGAAGTAGATTATTAGCCACAACCTAAGTGTCAATTTTTGTGAATTTCATGTCAAAATAGTGGTTTTTGGTGCCTTTCAATTTTGGGAATATTTTCCATACGAATTTTCTCCATTTTTTTTTTCTCTCCATTGCTAGATAAAACAATTGGAAGTTTTACGGGAGTAATGAGAGGTTATGGGAAGGTGTGGATTTGAATTCCAAATCACTCCCTCCAACCCTTTTAATGTCATGTGGGTCGGGTCACCCCACATGGACGACCCATGATCCATATTTTTTAACACAAACAAAAATATAGCTTCCTCCAAAAGCTCTTCTACATGATGCAAACGCAAAAGCAAAAAACATGTCAAATGGTCCATATTATTAGAGTGACCTAATACATGAATATATATTCAAAAGCCACTACTATAGTCTACAGAATAACGTTCTAACTCTACACAGTCCAACAAAATTTTCTCTGTCCAAGCTCCAAAATCTCAATCTCCATTATTTCTAGCTGTTTTTATCTGCCCACATACGCAAGCTATATATGCCCTGTGGCATAGTAAAATCATGAAGGTGTATGTGAAAATTTGAAGTAAATTAGAAATGGCATTTTAGGAACTGGAATGCACTTCACAATCCATCCAAGTGGCCATGTAAAAACTGCAAGCAAAATACAAATTCCCCATTGAGCCCAATTCAACCTCACTGTATCCCCAAATTTCTTTAAAAACTCTACCATCACAACCTGTAGAATAAGAGTTACTGCAATGATTCCAAGAAACAGACCAATCTTATGAATCCCTTTGAACACATTCTTCTTCACCAACTTTCTTGCATTAAATTCATTGAAAACTTGGCAAAACACAAATGTGTTGAAAATCAATGTGTCATTTTCCTTCTCCTCCATATTAAAGATTGATTTACCTTTAAATTGTAAGGTTAAGAGTATGGTTATTTGGTATATGGCCTATGCCAAGAGGTTTCTCCACATAATCTTTGTGATTAGAGGCTCAGTTCGACCTACCGAGGGTTTATGCATAAGCTCATCTGTTGGTCTTTCTGTCGCAAGTGCAAGAGCCCCCATTGTGTCCATTATGAGGTTCACCCACAGAAGTTGCACCGTGGTTAGAGGAACATCACCAGCAGAAACTGCTGCAATGAAATTGATAACAAGGGCTGCAACATTGACGGTGAGTTGAAATTGAATAAATTTTTGGATATTGTTATAAACGCATCGACCCCATTTGAATACGGTTGCCACAGATGCAAAATCATCGTCCAAGATAACGATATCTAAGCTTTCTTTGGCTACTTCAGTGCCTTGAATTCCCATGGAAAGGCCTACATCAGCTTCTTTTAGTGCTGGTGCATCATTTGTTCCATCTCCGGTTACTGCTACCACATGACCTTTCTGTTTCAAGTAGTGTACCATCATAAGCTTGTCCATTGGGAACGATCTCGCCATTATAAGAATGTTATTGACCTTGAGAATTCTCTCATCTGGTGTGTAGTTTCTGAACTCGGAGCCTTCTATAACTTCGCCAACACCATGTTCTTGATCAGATGAAAGTAGCCCACATTCTGTGGCTATGGCCCTTGCTATAAACACATTATCTCCTGTGATCATCTTGATTTGCACCCCAGCCATTCTGCAAGATTCGATAGCCTTTTTTGCACCTGGTCTACAGGGATCCTTTAGGCCAACAATCCCAAGCAATGTCAAATCATCTTCGTTGCATTGAACTTTTTCTGGTTCAATTTGCGTATAAGTAAATGCAATGCAACGGAGGCTACTTGCTGCCATTCCCTGGATTATATTTTCAAATTGTGACCTTTCATTTTGACTTATACTCTTAACTTTTCATGTACCCTGATAATAGTGCGTACACATTGCTAACACATTTCTACAGCTCCTTTCCAGTGCACATGGTTGGTATTATCAACCTGTTTCTTAATCAGAATTCCGCTTCACTTCTTCTCCGAATGTTTCAACATGAATAATAGTATAATTTCGCTTCAGTTTCTCGATATCCATACTCAAATCCTGGACAGCCCACGAGAGAATTGCCTTCTCAATTGGACTGCCAGAATACTCAATTACAGATTCTGATTTGGGTTTTTAAACGCTCACTGCCGTGTTGAAACCAATTCCCTGGTGGAATAGTTCCAAGAGATCCGGGGCAATAGCCTGTGAATATTGATCTTCCTTGATGTTGTCATGGTCGAGCTAAAACTTCATCACTTTTATTTGATTCATTGTCAATGTTCTCGTTTTGTCTGTGCAAATAACTGTTGCTGATCCCATTATTTCACATCCTGATAAGTTCCTGACCATCGCCTGATCAGCCATCATTCTCTTCATCGAATATGCGAGCGCTAGGGTGACAGCCAACGGGAGTCCATCCGGAATTGCGACAACCACAATGGTAACTGCGGTCAATATAATTCGAAGAACAAAATTGAAAATATCATTTAAATATATTCTTCTTCCATTGTATTCTCGATTTCCATTTTCATCTTTGGTATTTCCAGTGAAATAACGAATCAACATGACTACAAGAACCAGGAAAGCTACAGAAAGTCCTACTTTCCCAATTGATGTCGTCAATTTGTTCAGACGCTCTTGTAATGACGTTTGTTCGTTTGAATCTTTTGTTATCGAACTCATCATCTTCCCCCAGGCTGTTTTCATCCCGACTGATATCACTAGCATTCGTGAATACCCGTCGGCCACTTTTGAACCTGACATCAGGAATGGATTATGCTTGGAATCGATTTCATGATCACTCTCTCCTATCAAGCTCGATTCGTCCACTTGAAATGAATGCCCGTCGATGAATAGTCCATTTGCCGGAATTTGATCACCGATCGTCAAGAAAACTACGTCCCCGACTGCAACGTCGAAGATTGATATCTTCTGCCTCTTCCCATCTCTAACAACATCAATTTTGATATTGCTACTTATTTTCGACAGCTTGTCGAACTGTCTTTCTTGTCTGAAATTGCTAGTTGCAGATACTACAACAACTGGAAAAACAGCTACAAATATGCTCCCACCCTCGTACCAACCTTCTTGAATCCCATGTTCTCTAATCCCAAATGCAAGAGATAGAGCCGCACAGGCAAGATGGATGATAATGATGGTATCCTTAAATGCCTCGACTACGAAATACATTAGCCCTTCCGGATGAGGCTTTTGGTACGTATTCGAACCAAATGCACTCCTCCGTTTTTCGCATCATCTTCATCTCCAGGAATTCCATTTACTAAATCAGTTTTCAGAAGTTTGGCAATGCCATTTCTCCAAGCTCTTGTTCTTCACCATATCTGTGAGTTTTGTTTGATCAACGATGGGAAAACAAGATACAGGAACTAAATCAGTACCGGATAAAAGATCTAAGCCACTGACAGAATCAATTTCAAGAACAGTGTGAGAAAAGGAGCCTGAAATTTCAGAATATTTATGATTTCTTCGTCTTTTAATGATAGATTTTGCAAGAGACAGAGAAAAATGAATGGCGATGCAAGCAATGCGCTATTGCTTTTGGGGTTTTGTGAGGGTGGTGCTACTAAAATCAAGAAGCACTCTATATAGGCCGCTACCATAATCAGTGGTTGAGTGGAATTTGGTCTCCATTGTTAATTCTTTCTAAACTTACAGAAATGGAGAAGAACAAGCACTTGGAGAAATGAAATCTTTTGTAAGAAAGATTGTCATTCAATAACGTTATGTCATGATGTTTTATAATCAAATTGGGAGGCAAAGGGAAGTTTCTTGGTAGCTTCCATGTGTGTGTATTTATATATATATACAACTTAATGGCCTTCGTGATGTGAACTCTTCAATTGTACGAAAGCAAATATCTGTAGGATCTGGTTATTTCGATGGACAGTTTGACAATTGTAATCTATTCAGTCGACTCAAGCATATCAAAATATAACCGAACAAGAACATGTTAGTTTGTTAGTTAAAGAAGTTCATGTTTCATGCAAATGATCATAAGTAATTCAAGCAGAGAAAACAGAATTATTTCCAGGAAGGAATTTTGAAGTTATGGGCATATATAATTCCTGAAAGATCAGAGAGGAAGGTATTTTCCAGCCTATCATTGGGGGTATATTATTAGTTATTACTTGACGACAAGTCCAAATGTGTTCCCCCTTTTTAACCTATCTTTTATGGACGGAAGGAATTCCCACCAAATGGCTTATTTGGTATAACATTTCTTTTTGCTTCTATTTTCAATAAAGCCGGCTTGTCATTATTTTTGCAGGCTAAACCGCCCGAAGATTTTTTCAAATGTTTATTTTTTTTTGTCTTTGTTATTATCCATATGGATTTTGTCATTTGTACATAATGGATTACATAATATAATGTAGAAGAAAATGATTGAATAAAAAAATTGATTTTGTTTTAAACTAACAAATGGTATAGGGTTATGTGATATTATATAACCCATTATATAAATCTTGATATACTTGTAACAAGATCATATCCATGACCAGCAATTGCAGTAACAACAGTCAAATATGCCTTTTGTGTCTTATCCTTTTATGTCTTATCTTTGTTTCATATAAGCATTTTAGATTCTTAGCACATTTTATTTAGGTTCTCTGTATTTCACCGGCATGTTTGGCTAAAATTTTGAAAAATTACTCATAAATTATTTTCCAACAACATATTCATAAGTAACGTTTACTCCAAAGCAAAGTTGCCCTTTTAAAGCTTAGCGAAACATGTTTCGAATTATTATAGGTCTATTAGAAAAGTTACACTCCAACTAAAACATAATCTTATCTTGACAATATAAAGTGAATTTACACGTATCCACACACCAAAGAGAGGCCTTTCCACATCATCTAGAAAACATAGTTAATTTGTGTTCAATAAGCTTATGTTTGGCCTTCATTTTTTTTTTAAAAAATTCATTTTTCACATATTCTCCTATAAAATAATTTTACATAATATGCTCGACAATGACATAATTATTAAAAGAAAAATAAATAAATTTCCCTTTTTACAATCATAAACTAGTATTACACATCAAATAGTGCCCTATGAATTATATTCAGTAATGACAAAATTATTTCATTTACAAATATAAATTATTAAAGAAAAAATACTAAAACGTATACAAGTAGTCAATTTAGCCGAATATCAAGCCCAAAATTCGTGTTTGATCAATTTTTCAATTTGTTAAACTTTAATTTTAATCAAAAATTTCTTGGACTTATATCTTTTATCAACTTTTCAACCACATATTTGATCAACTTTTATCAAATTTTGCTGAAATTTCTACTAAAAGGTTTGTCCAACAACCCTTCATAGAAAACCAAAGCTTGTTTGCACAATTTCAAGGGAAAATTACAGCTGCGGTCCTAAATCTCTATCTTTCTTTCTTTTTTCTTTTCTTTTTTTTGTGGCTTTCGTTCTAACTTTTCATTTATTGCATCCATAGTTTCAGATCTTTTACTTATGTGCGACAGAATTTTATGTCCATATGTTCGTCAGTTGACCAGAAGCCAACGATCTGATCACATTTTGACCAATTTTAAAAGGGCAACATGGTAAGTTTATATTCCTTTCATTTGTCAAACTTGGTAAGTTTATACTCCTTTCATTTATTGTTCGTATCACTTTCATTTGCCAAACTTTAAAAAAATGCACCTCCA